GCTTCAACGCCATAACACACATAGAGAATCGGAGAGTAAGATCTGACATTACGTCCTCGTCAACGGCGTGTGGACAGTGTACCTCGTGCACAAACTTTCGGTGTCTTTGAAGATGCACCGGCCATTGGAGATACACGGTATTGTACGTTTGATTTGGGCATGAACAAGTGGTGAGCATGCGTTCAGGCCTTGTTTTCAGCTTTGTGATGCGATTCGATATTGTCCTGCATTCGACGTAGTCAGAGCGGAGGCGAGATGGCGAGATGGATTGAGGCGTTAGACGATCAAGTTTCGCTTCCTTTCCTTCATTAGTGACTAAGCTCACGGATTATATGGGATTATACGAACTAGTTTGCCTACTGACAATAGCACCTGCGAAAGCGTCGGTGACGTGTCGAAATTTGACTCTTGAGAACGAGGAACATCTTTTTCTATGGCAGGAAAGTACTTGCTCGTTGTGCGAAGACCGGATATGATTAGCTGGGTTTGATCCGCGAGTCGCAAGCTGGTCTCATCATGCAGCGTCTCTTGTCGCCTCGCAACGGTCTGGTTTCCAAATTGTACAAGCCGTGTAGCTTCGGCGATCTGATGCTTTATGCTCTCAAAATCTCGACGTTGTTGCTCCCTATGAGTTCGCTAAGTGGTATTCCTGCATTCATGTTTTATGGGTTCACATACAAGTTCAATGTCAACATTGCCGTGTGCAGGTCCTGTTGGACACCTTCCAAGGTGTCTTTCCAGAACAGAATGTCCTCTTGTCGAAATGGGTATGAGAGGCGGCGCTTTAGATTTCGAAATCGTTCGTGGATGCCTAAGCTGCCCTACTCTAAGCCGTCCTGGGGAGCCTCCTTGTTGCGCTTCTGGATCGGCGAGATGAGGTCGGGGCGATCTTTCTCTAGCTTGAGGCGTCGGTCCAGCTTGTCCACGGCTAGCTGCCAGTGCTCGTCGGCCATCTTCTTAATAGTGGCGGTAATCATGGCCAGCAGCAGGCTGTCGAACGGAGGATTGAAGCGCAGCGTCGCGAATTGAGTTGCGGCCTTTAAGGAATTGAAGACGATAGTCATCCACGGGTGTAAGCAGCCAGAGCTACTATGTCGCATGACGGCAATATGCCTGATGATTCAGCTCGATCAATACTTAAGAGCCTCTGATTGCTTTTATACACAGACACTTCGATACACACACAATACACACATTTCTGCTCCCAAGCCTCCTTAAGACATAGCCCCCACCTGCTTATAACGGGTCATAGCCATCGTTCTCCAGGCAGCCAAACGACTCGCCGAAACCTAATTCTCCGATGAAGTCAAACGTGACATAGTTGTACCACCGCACTATATTGATCATGGCGGCATTGTCGGGGCCTGCCCCTGCCATGGCGCGGATTCTGGAGATGAAATTCTCGATATACTCTTGCACAGGAGGCTCTTGCATCAAGACGGCTCGCTCGGCGAAGCCTGGGTCAATGGCTCTGCGGAATCGGGCGTGGGTCTTGGGATCAATTGCATGGAGCACCGACGTGGGCCGTCCAGGCTGCTTATTGTGCCAGACTTTGCTCTTGGGAAAGGCATTAGCGGCTCCACTGTTTGAGTAGATGTCATTCCAGGCATCAGTCTGAGCAAAGGAGAGCTCTTTAGGGGCAATGCGGACGATGTCGCAATATTGCTGGTGGAGGATACGAACGTCCCGATGCAACTAGTCGGACCAAAGCGACTTCATGTACCCGAGACGAGACGCGCGCCAGGAGATAGGCCCCGGATACTCCGCTAGAGGATGTAAATATAGGTTGTAGAGCCATGTTTCGACGAGGTATTGCGGTATACAGATTAGTGGCGAGTAACATTACTAGAGAGAGATTGGTAAGTAAACCATGATGAAGAGGCTGAACGTTACGAGCAGCTTCTGGGCCAGACTACTTGCCCAGGTCATGGTGTATTGAGTCTTGATGTCCGAAGGTCATTCAGATCAAAGGGCGGAGGGAAGGAAAGTAAGGGCGGTAATATAGCACTATATGCGGGCCAGTAGCACACAGAAGCGCAATGGGGCGGGCGACCATGCTCCGGCTCCCGAATATAGGCTGAAAAACTGTGCCGCCTTTTCAGTGGCTCTGCGTGGTGAAAATGGCGGTGGCCGTGGCGCTACTACCTGTGGTACTGCTCCTTCAGCGGTTCGAGGGGTTCGCACGTGCAGGCATAGCACTCCAGAACTGTGGCGCACGAATCCTGCAATAACGGGGGGCCAGGGCTGCACTCAACCGAGGCTGCGGTAGAATGTATGCGGCCAGGCTCCCCGGTCGCGGCATCGTATTGGTCAAAGAATACATACCATAATACTGGGTGATGTTAGATAAGCAGTGCCTGCCTTCTGGGAAAGAGCAAATGGACTCTCATGTACCCACTTCTCGTCTGCGGCTGGTTCTTCTCTCCGTCCCTCGTCGAGTCATCGCATCTTACCAAACCGCATCATGGGCCACCCGGACTCTGTCCCCATCGTCTACGACCAGCCTTCCTGGGGCACCTTGAACCCTCTAATTGTCATAACCACCATCGTCTACGTCTTCGCCCGCGCAATCTCGGGATGGATCCAGAAGGCAGAGTTTACTGCCGATGACTACCTGTCATATCAAGCTTTTCCGAGAACCCTCACTTGTACTTGCGGCCACCAATGAATTGACGGTGATACCTAGAGAGTACTCTATCATTACGTAGAAGGCTTACAAAGATGCATCTCACCTGAAAGTCAGTATGTGAGCGTCCGATTCGGCACGATTGGGCGTGAAGGCACTCAACTCCGACTCGAAGCTCGGTTTCCCAAAGTTTCCCAGTCGATCTGTTCGACGCCAGTCAGAGGTACACCTGATGCGTGATAAACTCCGTACAGATAGTCGTTGCCTTCCAAGAGAATGCTCGACAAATCCACGCTGCTGAGCCTAAAATATTCTGGATCAGTGACCGCCGATTCCGACCCGGCTGTAACAGGATGTGCATCATTTGCTGCAGTAAATCTGCCTGAAAGAGTATTAGCCTTACGAAAGACGAAAGGAGATGAAGCACAACCTACGTTACAGGAAAAAGACGCCTCCTCTGTGAGCGGGAGAACACACATTGGAGGCGGCGTTTAGAGCATTATTTATAGGGCTGGTCACCGCTGCAGTTCACTTTCTTATCACAACAGATCTGAGAGGTATTGGAGGTCCTAGCGGCGGTGCGCTGAGATGCCGCCATGCGATTTTTGGTAGATCGAGAATGGGTAGTGCAGATGTAGGATCCGGTGACGGGCTACACGGACGGTCCGAGGTTCGGTTTGTGTGGCCGAAATTGTGAGAATGATTATGTAAGCGATCCGAAAAGTCCCAGGTCCGTCACAGAAAGATTGTCGAGAGCACACTCAAGTGCGTCGGAAGCATCCCACAGCACAATGCAACCTATGCCGAGTTTCGTGTCCGGCCAAATGAGAGCGGCCTCGCGCTTCAGAGGTTCAATCCGAGGCTCACATCGGCGTCTTGCTCAAGAAGCTAAACCGTTTTTGCCACTCTAAGTCGGCTATACCAATCTCAGGAGGAGGAGGCATCATCAACACATCAATCGTCATTATCGACGGCCCCAACCAACGGCCACCGCAGTCATGTCCCGTTCACTCGTACTCCAACTTCGAAAGTCGGGTGTTTCTCTTCTTTCGACACCATGCCTTATCAGACGAGCACAAAGATGTGCATTCTCAACAACGCAGCGCATGCGCATTATGGAGACGACCGGCTTTTCTGAGACGCAGTTGACTGTCCGGGAAGCGGTAGCTGCCGTGTGTTCCCAGTTCCCTAATACATACTGGCAAGAACACGACGAACAAGGCACCGATCCCACCGATTTTCATGCAGCGCTTGCAAAAGATGGCTGGCTCGGCATCGCGCTACCAGAAGCTTTTGGCGGCTCGGGTCTCGGTATCTCTGAAGCCACCATGATGATGCAAACCATTGCTGAATCTGGAGCTGGAATGGCAGGCGCCCAGGCAATTCACGCGAACGTTTACGCGACCCAGCCGCTCGCCAAATTCGGCACGGAGAAGCAGTTGAACGAGACGATTCCCAACATCATCAGCGGCAAGTTTAGGACTTGTTTCGGTGTTACGGAGCCCAATGCTGGACTTGATACCCTTCGACTGAGTACACAGGCGAAGAAGGAAGATAATGGGACATACAGCATCACGGGCCAGAAGATCTGGATTACCTGTGCGCAAGTCGCCGACCGAATGATCCTACTTGCGCGAACCTCTCTTCGTGAAGAAGCAGAGAAGCCTTCCAAGGCATTGAGCTTATTCTGCATACCGATCGATAAATCAGCACCGGGCCTCAGCATGCGCAATATCAAAAAGATGGGTGGTCGTGCCGTGGATGCGAACGAAGTCTTCTTTGACAATTACACGATCCCGGTAGATTGCTTGATCGGCAAAGAAGGCGAGGGTTTCAAGATCATTCTACATGGCATGAATGCAGAGCGGTGCTTGCTCGCTGGCGAAGCTTTGGGGTTGGGATATGCCGCTCTAGCGAAAGCGAGTGCCTACGCAAGAGAACGCGTTGTCTTCCAGCGCCCAATCGGCATGAACCAAGGCGTTGCGCATCCCCTATCAGATGCATACATGCGCCTCGAGGCTGCCAAACTGGCCACCTATCACGCCGCACGACTTTATGACGCCAGCAAGACAGACGACACCATCAAACAAGACGCAATAGGTGTTGCGGCGAACAGCGCGAAATATCTTGCGGCAGAGGCAGCATTCACAGCTTGTGAGAGAGCGATTCTAGCGCACGGTGGAATGGGATACGCACAAGAGTACGACGTTGAGCGATGGTTTAGGGAGTGTCTAGTTCCTAGGATTGCCCCGGTGAGCAGGGAGATGATCCTGAACTACATTGGGGAAAAGGTACTGGAATTGCCTCGAAGCTACTAAAATTCCGGTGTGTCTATATCTTAGGCAAAGCGACTTCTATTTATCCTAATTCGCCTTTAACAAATTCTGACATCATCTTCACGATCCCGATACCATTTTCCTCTTCAAACCTTCTGCCGACTACCTGCAACGCCACTGGAAGCACTGCGTAAGTATTCGGATTGTAGTTTGTTAAATCATTTCATCTCTCCCACAAGTGGGTGGCGACAGTGAATCCCCGTGTGCATCCAAGCTCAAGCTCTTTACGTCGGCCAAATCCACGTCAGGGTGGACAAAGCCGACAGGAATTGTGCATGCAGTGTATACGAAATAGCGAACCCTGGAATAGTCGCCATGGCGCGGTGCAACGACTGGGTTCACTGGTGAGATGTACGAGTCCATAGGTAGGAGCCCGTCCCTCGCAGTCTCATTCCATTGCTTCAATACAACGGCTCGAATATCCTAGACCACCATGGCAAGATGCCAGCCCTCAAGAAGAGTGATTGGTGGACCCGGTCTTTCGCAGGCATTTTCCATTGGTGGCTCTCCCGGAAACGCGAACATCTGTGGATGTCGCCAACAGCATCTGATCGGAAAACGCGCCAAATGAGTTCCGTCACGCGTGTTGTATCAATTTTCCAAAGAATGATCTCATGGCCTTGTGCTTGAAGTGCTGCAACAGTCAACCTGAGCGCTCTGCGGACCGGAGGCTGTGGCAAGCAGACACCATCCCATCCAAACACCCCGATACGCAGATTTCTTCTAGAGGAGACATCAACGAGAGCTTGCTGATTCCATGGGAGCGGAATGCATCCCGGGTCGTACAGCCACGGCTGACTGTCCACAATCGTCCTCGTAAAAAGCTCGACTGCGTCGGCACTGGTTGTCATCGGACCCGTCACCGGCAAGGTCGTCTGCTGGCCCTCCATCGAGTTAAGCATTTGGTAATATGGAATGCGCCCACTGCTCAGCTGTAAGCCATAAAGGCCTTGGTAGGCAGATGGACTTCTGATCGATCCTCCCAGATCTGTCCCGATTCCTAGAGGACTGCTTCGAAATGTGCGGTCGGTGGTTCCAGAGGAATTCGGGGCTAGTATATGCGTATGCGGAGGAGCTGGACGTTGAGGTTAAGATGGCGAACCAGATCGGATGTGGATTTACCGGTAGGGGAGGGGTGACAAGCGAAAGTGGAGGGCTGAGATCAAACGGCTATTGCGGTCTGCTGCAGGATTTGCAAAATGGCTCTACGATGATAGATGGTGCGCGGAATATTTACTTTGGCTTCCCCATACCTCGTCCACTGAGGTTCCCTGTCAACAATGCTTTTTTTTTTTTACTGTGCTTCCAGACCGATAACGTGCAATGCAGCAGCACGGTCTCTCGCAGCCCTCGTCGCCGCGAACCCGGAAACCGGACCTGCTTGGGATCGAAGAGCCTTGCGAAAGGCACGAGCTCGTATTGCCGCCCCAGATAACACTTCGGACCTGCTTATAATCGTAGGCCAAGTGCGCCGGCCAAGTGCGCTTGTGTCTTGGGAGAGCATTCCGATTGCCTATTGCGGAAGGTGCCAAACCGTACGCAGGTTCCCACGGCAGCCTCTCGAATCTCTCAGCCGAGATAAATAATGATAAGTAGGACAGGTACTCTTCTTAGTGTCTTCGTCACAGCATTGCTATAGCTACCATTTCGTCATGAAGGTCTCCACGCTTCTTGGTTTGCTGCCTGGCACGGTCATCGCTTCCGATGTCTTGAGCGTCGCGTTTTGGGCAAAAGAGAAGAACCAGCTATACGACTTCATTTCCACCAATAACGAGATCGACTATGGCTGCCGTCCCGTCGTCATACCCGCTGACGGCGAGCACAAGGTGCACGCCGTCATTTCAGAGGAACAATTGAGTGATCTGAAGAGAAGCCTGGACCCGGACATCGTGCGCGTGGAAACTCTGCATAATATAAACAAGCGACAAACTGCAACGGCACCGATCGGCAAAGGTGACAGATTCAAGGGCGGGAAAGTGGCTCCTCGTGGCCTGGGTACTAGAAAGCCGAGCGAGTATGCGGGACTCCAGGCTGCGGGTATCTTCAATGCGGATGAAGTCTACACGGCTATGAAGGGCTTACAGAAAGAGTATGGTATGACGTTATTCACACCCCCTCACAAGACTTTCGAGGGCAACACGGTCATCGGCGGCGTCGCGAACAAGGCCGAGAAGATCAAGAAGGACAAGCAATACATCTACTTTACGTCCGGCATTCATGCTCGCGAAAGAGGCGGCCCCGATAATCTTATCTACTTCATCTCGGATCTGCTGTATGCGAACAAACACCGCAAGGGCTTGACCTATGGCAACAAGAAATACAGCAACAAGGACGTCAAGACCGCCCTCGGCGCCGGAATCGTCTTCATCCCCATGACCAACCCAGACGGCGTCCGCTACGATCAAGCAAACAGCAACCTCTGGCGCAAGAACCGCAACCCAAAAAGCGCGAGGCCCAACGAACCCCTTAGCGTCGGTGTCGATCTGAACCGCAACTTTGACTTCATGTGGAACTTCACCAAGTACTTCGACCCCTCCGTCTCGCCTGCGTCCACGAACGCTTCGTCGCAGGCCTTCTATGGCACTGCGCCTTTCTCGGAGCCTGAGACGAGGAACATGGTCTGGGTGTACGACGAGTATCCTAAGATTCGGTGGTTCATCGATGTACACTCGGCTGCTGGTACCCTCTTGTATTCGTGGGGTGATGACGTTGATCAGTCGTACGACCGCAAGCAGAACCTGTTCAACCCGGCATACGACGGCAAGCGGGGTATCGTCGACGATGAAGTGTACAAGGAGTACATTGACCAAGAGGACTGGGATAATGTTGCCCTGCAAGCCAATCTCACGACCGCTGCCATGGAAGCAGTTGGTGGACGCGAGTACGTCCCTCAGCAAGCTGTTGGCCTGTATCCTACGTCAGGTGCTAGCGACGATTATTCTTTCAGCAGATGGCACAAGAACAAAAAGGTCAACAAGGTGTATGGATATACGATGGAGTTCGGATACCCGACTAATTTCTACCCGACGAGCGAAGAGTACATTCAGAACATTATTGACACAAATGCTGGGTTCATGGAGTTCATTCTTACGGCCGAGAGGATCGGTCTCGAGGGCTGAACGCAGCGTGCAGATGTGCGATACTCTGTTTGGTGGAAGCTTGAATATCTGATGATATAACGAGAAATGAAAAGTAGCATAGCTGTAGTAGTAATATCCATCTATGCATTAATGGACCCACCAGAAAGCACACTGGTGCACTTGCACCGTTCTTGAGTGGGGCACGATTGACTGCGCCCAAAGTGGCTTAGCGCCGAAGCATAACCCTCTTTCCCCATGTCACAGTGTTTTCCGGCGCCACCGAGCCTTCACGCGTACCAGGACCACTCAAAACAACGAAGGTCAAAGCCACGAATTGACAATTGCGACGCCCCATAAACTGTGCCGTTGGTGCAGGAACTTTGTCAAAGAGCTCTACACATCAGTCCTTCCTTGCTTGATGAAAGACCAACAAACCACACTACTCGGCCACTACCCAGTCGCACAAGCTCTCATCAACGGCGCACAGCAATCTCACTGCCATCTTTGCTCAATTCTCGTTGGTAGTCTTTTTGCAAGCCAAGGACCAAACGGAATTAAACAAGCCCTTGAAACCTCAGAGGAGTGCATGACCAAACGAGAGAAGTATCTACACGACGGCACGAGTGCCCGACGAAGGGGCACCTGACGGCTGGAGAGCTTTTGACCTGTACACGGGCCCTGAGACCACAGATGCTGTCACTTTGAATATCCTTGCTTCGGCGCGACTCCACAATCGGACAGGATACCTCGGAGGGATTCTTCGCGATGTCAAAGAGCCGGAAGCAGCGCGTGCCCAGTTCTCGTGCTTTACGGGGTCGAAAGAATGTTATGCGATGGTGGCAAAGTGGTTAAACATATGCACTTCGCTGCACTCTGAATGTCGAAGCAGTCAACTGCTCCAAAAACCCATGAGGCTGTTGGACCTCAATATTGGCGACATTGAAGACGTTAGATTAGTTGCTGGTACAACGGCGGCCGACGCTCCCTACGCAACACTGAGTTACTGCTGGGCTTGGTTCCTCAGCTTATGCTTTCGTGAAGCAACTATTCAGACTTCACCCAACGGATTCCGTTCAAATCTCTCAGCAACGTGGCCCAGGATGCTGTCACAGCTTGTCGAGCTCTATCAATACATTACTTATGGATCGATGCCCTGTGTATCATCCAAGATCCAAGTGGAGACTTCCAAGATGAGGCTGCACTTATGGAAGACGTATATGCCGGCTTTGCCTCCACTATTTCTGCGACGACATCCACCGATATAACGGAAAGCTTCTTAGTCGAGCGGCAGCACTTGCAGTGGGTCGACTGCAAGATTTTGACTGCCGATGGCCTCAGTTACCGAAGCTACTTTGAAGGGAATGCCTTCTGCGAGTTCGAAGGTGACGCCTATGGAGATTTTGAGGGCAACGTACCAGGGACATTCGCGATCGACTCCCGCGGTCGGTGCTTCCAAGAGCGATGTTTGACGCCGCGTTCTGTGTATTTTGGGACCGCAGGTATTCACTGGGAATGCCGCAGAGGCGTTGCGTGCGAGCACAGATCAGAAATCGGTGATGAGCACGTTGCTACCAACCACCTAAACGCTCTCAAGACGAAATATGCCGAGCTTTCTTTGCTATGGCAGGATCTAAACGCCCCCGAGATGAGCCAGAGAGTCCGCGACCTCTGGGCGTGCATACTAGAATCATACGTCGGTACATAACTGACGCATCGTACCGACAAACTGGTCGCAATAGCCGGTATCGCATCGATCCTACAAAAGAAATACCAAATGGAAGCCTCTTTTAGCTTATGGCTGGATTTCTTCTTGGATGAGCTAATCTGGTGGACCGACCCGAAAGAAAGAGTGCGAGCAATTTCGCTTCACATAGCGCCTTCATGGTCCTGGGCTGATGTTTACGGTTGTACGATTCGATCTGGCTATACACTGCATGCTGGCTAACCAAACGAAGAGTACAATTTGATCCGATCACATTCAGCGAATATCATCTCGTGGCCTCGCGTGGCCTCGCGCGGCCTCGCGCGACGAAATTGACAATCATACTACGACAGGATTTTGATGCGCACGAAAGAGGTGCAGCGGTCGTGATTCGAGGCAAAATCGTGCCCTGTTGACACTGCGCCATCAATAATCCTCGCCCCGAAACCCGGACGGAAGCGCACCGTCTTGACCCACTCGATTACAAATCAGAGAAGATTTCAGAAGTGGGCACGTACAGACCGGATAGTTTGGTGCCGGAAAGCGAGCTATATTGTTTGTTGTTGAGGAGCGAGCATCGTAGATTCAAGGATTGGAATGACAAGATGTGGAGTTCCTCTCCAAATGTCATATGGAGTCATGGGCTGGTATCGACACCGGCTCGAGGTTTGGAGTCTTTTTTTCCGGAGAACGGGAGTCTACCTTGAGTTGTTAGATGTTGGAGAGGAGGTGGGAGCGACTGCAACAGATAAGACGCGGTTTCGTACGTACATGGTGGGCGGATGTGAACGAGGAACAAGAAGTCACTATAGTTTAAATTCACTTCCTACGCCAGGGGCGATTGACAGGTGTAGAATCTATGTATATGAATTTACACCGCGAAGTAGGTATGTGAGAGACGCTAACCCAGTTCGCAGGGATCACCCGAAAGTCTGTGGCAAATGTGCGTAGTGCAACCAAGTAATCGATTGCGCACGTACATTTCTCTTCGACCGCGACCGTGTTTCTTCACATCCGTCCAGCAGCCTCGTGGATTGGAACTCCCCAATCCAGGTCAGATGACAAAGCCGAGGTTCTCGACGCCCAATCCAGAAATCGCGCTCTTGCATCCCCCGATCATCTCGAAACCTCACCAACACCACGCCACTACGTGTACCATCCGCCATTGCACCCAAAATCCCGGCCCACAACTATCAAATATTGGAGAGCACGCCTTACGCCGAGCCGGACTGCTATTGGCGAATGGCACCCCGGCCGCATATGCGGTCTAAGGTACAAGTG